AGATGAATTTCTACTCAAGCTTTCCAAATAGTTCTAAAAGCTTAGGGAAAACATATGTAGTCTTCCAATTAGTCTTTTTTTTTTTTTTTTTGCCCTTCACAAAGTATACAATATTGTATATTAGAATGTTGAAAATAGCAATTTTAATTTTATAGCTGTACTAGAAAATTTGGAGGGCCTATGGGCTGATTTGGGAGAGAGGGTAATTTTTTTGTAGAACTAATTTATCCAGGCTTTCTCCCAACCCCTAAATGATAGCTTCGTTTTGCCAGCTTCTCAGAACAAACTGACAATTTTTGAAAGATCTTAGTCAATATTTACCTCATTTGAACTATAACAAGAAACAGTGAATTTAAAATAAGCGAAGAAAATAGTGAGCTTCATTAATTATAACTCAAGACTCATTTTTTCTCTCAGCCAAAAAGAATTTTAAACTGATGTTAATCTATTAGGAATTTTGTGCATTTTAATATAACTTTGGCTCTGTTGGTAGTGTCTAGACAGACTGCAAACACATTTTGAGAGACTTAACTTAGATTTAACTCCATTTTCATAGGCATTTCAGTGACTGTACTTCAAGTCATATTTAAAGGTGATATTGAAAACTTCTTGAAAATCTTATAAATAATTGGGGCACCTAGGTGGTTCATTCTGTTAAGTGTCTGAGTCTTGATTCCAGCTGAGGTCATGATCTCAGGGTTGTGGGATCAAGCCCTGTGTTAGGTTCCCTGCTCAGCGAGGAGTCTGCTTGAGATTCTCTCTCTCCCTTTCCCTCTGTCCCCCCACCACACAGTCTCTCACCCTCTCTCTAAAATAAATCATTTTCGAAAAATCTTATGAGTGGGATGCCTGGGTGGCTCAGTTGGTTGAGCATCTGCCTTCAGCTCAGGTCATGATCCCAGAGGCCTGGGATCAAATTCTGCATTGGACTCCTTGCTCAGCGAGGAGCCTGCTTCTCCCTCTGCCTGCTGCTGCTCACCCTGCTTGTGCACTTGCTCTCTCTCGCTCTCTCTCTCTCTCTGATAAATAAATAATAAATAAGTTCTTTAAAAAATAAAAATAAATAAATCTTGTGAGTAATCAGTTTTCAAGGGAAAGGTTTTAAATAGTATTTTTTTAGAAGTTTGATAGGAACAAGTATCGGAGAAAAGCCCCTAGAGTGTTTTCCTCCATGGCAGGTATAAAGCATTCTTTTTTATATGAGAGTGATAGTTGTGTTTCAGTTACTGAACAATGCCCTCTGAGGGTTGGAAAGGGTCTTTGAAGTTATCTGCTGTCATTTTCTATCGGGGATTCTGTGTTTATCATTCTTGAGATACCACCTAGTGCTTTCATAGATGGGAGGGGGTGCACAATAGTAAGAACAATGGTAGAGGTAAAGAGACAATAATTACTCTGTGAGTTCAGAGGAAGGAGATATTTCTGACTGTGTAATCAGAGATTCTTCATGGTGGAAGTGGCTCAAAAGCAGGAATTTACTTAGGAATGATGGGTAGAATTGGACCTGAGAGAAGGTTTGGCACAGGCAAACAGGTGAAAGTTAGAGAGCACATCGTATGTTCGAGGAACAGGAGTCTCAGCAATGGAGTCTCAGTAGAGCGTGGAATGATAATTGTTCTCCAGGAGCATTGCAGCCACTCCTAGCAAAGCATATTTGCAAGAAAGCAGGGAAAGATTAAGACAGTGAATTGTTTTCCTTAGTCCTAAATGAGTCAGACCTCATTAAAGCCATGTTTTATTGGGATGAAGCGGACAAGTGTCATAATTCAACACAAATTGAATAAATATGCACCAAATGCCATATATTTATAATAATTATTTATGGCATACCTTCATTATAAATTATCTTTACTATTATGTTTCAAAATATTTTTGTAAGCAAATGTTTACTTTAAAAAGATACATGTAGGGGCTCCTGGCTGACTCAGTGGGTTAAAGCCTCTGCCTTTGGCCCAGGTCATGATCCCAGGGTCTTGGGATCGAGTCCTGCATCAGGATCTCTGCTCAGCAGGGAGTCTGCTTCTCCCTCTCTCTCTGCCTGCCTCTCTGCCTACTTGTGATCTCTGTCAAATAAATAAAATCTTTAAAAAAAAAAAAAAGAAAACAACTTGGGAAAACATGACAATGCAATTAAAGCCAATAAAATTATATTAAAAAAAGATACATGTATATAATTCCAACATAAAGTTTGGATTCCATATTAGTAAATTTTTAAACGCCAAAGAAATGTGTTTTGTTTTGTTTTGTTTATTACATACAGACACAGGGAACATGGAGGTCCTCCACCTATATGGAAGTAAAGAGCAGAAGCAGCAGTGGCTTGAGCCTCTTCTTCAAGGGAACATTGCCTCTTGCTTCTGTATGACAGGTAAAAGCAAATCATGGTTCTCCCCTTGTGCAATCATCCTGGAGTTATTATGGGTAAGCTAAAATGAAAGAGTGGCTCTGTGTTTTAGGCAAATTTCCCCATGGACAGAGACGAGCATGTACTTGTTTTGAGCCCTGTTTCAAATTTTGGCATTTTTAAATGTGCAGAATCAAATTGTCCTCCCCTTTGGGAGGATACCCAGTGATGTTTTCTGATAGTCTACTTTAAGCATTTAGCAGCAGAGTAAACTTAATTTCATAATCTTTTGACTTGCATTTCTAAAATTGCCGTGTATGTATATTTAATATCTTTTTTGCCCTTATGTATGAAATATTTGTCTTTGTAATAATTTTTACTGATAGTTACAAAATACTTTGCCATGAACCTAGAAAAATAGACCATTCACCAGGGCTGATCACATAGTTCAGATTATGATCATGTGGGGAAGTAAAATTAGGAGCATGTTAAAAATGGGTTTGGTACCATTTGTACATAGGAAACAGTCAGTAAGAATTTTTCAAAGGAAAAAGTCATCATTATATAGTTGAGCTTGGAATTAAACTAAATGTCATCTGGCCATAATTTTAGCCAGACTTAAAAGTCTTCTATAACATTGTATGTATTTGTAATAGGAAAACTGATCTCCATTTAAAATCGGTGAGAGGCATTTATTGAACATCTGAAGTGACATGTTATCTTCAAACCACTAATTGGAGGTTACAAAATAAGTACACAGCTCCCTTTCTAAAGGAACCCCATGGGTCTCTAGTTTTAGAAATAGAATGCACAAAATATCTGAAGGACCAATTTAAAAGAGCAGCATATTAGCAAGTGCAGACGACTACAAGTGAGAGCTAACCTGCACATTTTGAAATGCCATACAGTAAAGCAGTTGTGTAAGGGTGTCCCATGGAAAACTTTTTGAAGAAATTGTGTTGATCAGTCTTTACAGAATGCGAAATAAGTCAGTGAAAGCATTCCTGATGGGATTTGCAAGGCAGGGTTGGAAATTGTCTAAGATAGTAAACTACATGGTGGGGAAATCTGGCTTGCAAATATTTAGTATTTAGTAGATTTCTATTGTGGACAGTAAACAACAGTATACTTAATCTACTTTTGATAATTGGAGAAAGGATTGAGTGAGTTATCTTGAATCATCCATCAGTGAGGAAGCCAAGAACACAATTCAGATTGCTGATCGCCAGTGTTCAAAATTCATTCATTCATTCTTCCAGTGCACATTTACTGAGTACTTACTATATGTAGGTTATAGGAGAACTAGAGTGGAAGGGGGGAAGGATAGGAACATGCCTCTATCCTCAAAGAGTTCACATTTCCTTATCTAAAATCTCTTTTTGTAAACTGATGATGTCTGCCTGCCTGTAAATTCAACCTTTGCTTATTTATAGAGCCCGATGTAGCTTCGAGTGATGCCACAAATATTGAATGTAGCATCCAACGAGATGGAGATAGCTATGTAATTAATGGCAAGAAATGGTGGAGCAGTGGTGAGTATTCAGATCCATCCTTTGTCCCAGGTGCTGTGCTAGGATAATATGATACATAATTATTAGTTTCATGATCACCCCGTTCTTTAAATTCTGGCTTTGAAGGCATATTCAAATTTAGAAATACTTGATTAAAAAAAAGGTAATTTTTAAAAAATACTTATTTTGGCAAGAGGGAGAGAGTGCAGGGGTGGGGGGGGGTAGGACAGAGGCACAGAGAGAGGGAGAGAGAAACTCTAAGCAGACTTCATGCTGAGTGCAGAGCCCAACCTGGGGATTGATCTTAACGACCCCAAGATCACTACCTGAGCCAAAACTAAGAGCCAGAGGCTCAACCAACAGTGCCACATAGGTGCCCCCCAAAAAGTAATTTTAAGATAACATATCTTGAGTAGGTGATATTTATTTTAAGAGCAGAAAACTTGTCTTTTTTTTCCCTACAGTTTTACAGTTCACAGTTTTTTATAGTTTGTGAGAGAGAAAATTCGTATTAGTGTACACTATTGATCACTGTCATTTCTTTCAAAATTAAATTTCAGTAGGGACATATTTTTTTAAAAGATTTTATTTATTTGACAGAGAGATCTCAAGTAGGCAGAGAGGCAGGCAGAGGGGGAGGAGGAAGCAGGCTCCCTGCCAAGCAGAGAGCCCAATGTGGGGCTTGATCCCAGGACCCTGAGATCATGACCTGAGCCTAAGCCCACTGAGCCACCCAGGCACCCCTCAGTAGGGACATATTAAATGAACTATAATTTATAAATAATTGTATTTAAAGAGATAAGATATACATGTTATTAAGAATCATCTACCGTGTCACATACTTTTATTGCTTAAAAATGTAAGTGCTTAAGCAAAAATATAAGAATCTGTATGTAAGAAAATATATTGTTTAGTCAACCCTCAGTAATAGACTCACATAAATGGGTAAGTCCTTTAGGAACTCGCAAAATTGGAATCTAGGTAAATATGATTATCTAAAGATTGCTTCTAGAGTATACAGGTAAATCTAATGGGATAACCAGTTTATTACTAAAGAAAATTAACATCATGGAAGCACATGTTCAGAAATTTACCAGGGATAAAAGGAAAAAAAAAAAAGTTTACCAGGGCCAGTAAAGCTTTTTATGTAATATTTTTATTGTTACATTGTTATTTCTGGGATCTTAGGAAATCACTTACAAACTAAGAAACAAGAAAAAAGGATTAAATTTTGTTGTATAGTTATTCAAATACTGAAATTATGCAGTGAAATCATTCTTACATTAAAATTTAGATCTTTTAAAATAATTAGAAATGCCCCTTAATATAAGCCTTTTTATTAATCTGTTTCAGATGGCCTAATTCATAGCATAGTGTTTTTATTATTTATACCTGTTAATACTATTTTCCTATATTGTTAACTTTAAGTTCATGTTTTCTGCATTTATTATGTCATTTCCTCCTCTTCCTGGTTGCTATATTCTCCCCACCTTCCCCCCACCTCTTGATTGCTATAAGTTGGCACTAGGGTATTTGAGATTTAAGTTTCAGAATAAAGCAGATGTTTTATCTGAGGGAGAAGCATCATTCATGTGTATCGAAGCAAGAGGCAGCAGTCTTACATTTAAATGCTGAAAGTACTGGTTGGCTCTGTAGGATCATCTGAATCGAAAGGAATCTCCTCCGCATTTTGTCTTTGTCTTCTCCAGGACCCGTATTTCTTAGCAACTTTCATAATGTAGTTTTTGAAAGAGGCTCCCATGAAAACATACAGGATTGGGTTGAGGCAGCTGTGAAAGAGTGCAATGCTCTCTGTGATTTGGATGGCAACATCCATGCGTTTGCTCATGTTGCAGTCGGTGATCAGAGAGTAGATAATGTCTATGACTTGGCAGAACCGGACAATGTTATAAGGCAGCTGAGTGACAATAAAAACTATAACCACTGTGAGCAGAACTTTGAGGGGACGAGATTTTTTAATGTTGGGCATCCTGATAAGTGTTCTTGCTGTGACAAAGTAGCACACTCCCATAATAAGAAAGGGTATTACAAATCCAATGCAGATTTCCAGCATTTGAATTGATGCTTTCACTGATGTTCCTAGGTGATATGGAAAGATGGGAATGCACCTAGCCTTGTGGTTGACTGTATAAAAAACCAGCTGAGGTATACTCAGCAAGATGGCAGCCATCCAGACACAGAAACAGATAAGCCAGCATGGTTTCCCCACTCCTGGTTGACGTGGGGCTTTAGTTACAGCCCAGTATCTGTCTATGCTGATACAAGCCAGAAACTGCATTCCAGAGACAAAGTTGACTGTATACAAGGCTGAAGTGACTTTGCACATGATTCTCCCTAAAACCCACCCATGAACTGCATTAACTGCCCAAAAAGGCAGAGTGAATAGAAGGAGTAAATCTGCCACTGCCAAGTTCAGGATGTACACATCCGTTTTGGTTCTCTGCTTCTTGTAATAGGCATAAATTGCCACCACTATGGAATTGCCTGCAATTCCAATGATGAAAGCTATTGTGAAGAAGGCGGGCAAGAAAACTTTTGCAAATTTTCTGACTTCCTCTTTTATACAAATCACTTCATACTGACTGTAGTCATGAGTGCCATTCATTTCATTTTCCTCATAGTAGTAATCTGTTGACTGGTTGTGTTCCAAAGTCATGGCTCCGATCTAAATGTCAAAAAGAATACAGAATATTCATTTTAATATTGTTTAAAAGGAAACACTTTTTAAAGTAATGTAAGTTTTGTTCTTTTACTAGAGAGTAGATTTTTGCTATAACGTAGGTGAGGCTGAATCTGCCGCTTTTTGAAATTTGAAATTCTTCGGTGGAAGCCACATTGGAGTATAGCTCCAAGATTAGTTGATTAGTTCTTTTTTTTTTTTCTTAAAGATTTTATTTAATATATTTGACAAAGACAGTCACAGTGAGAGAGGGAGCACAAGCAGGGGGAGTGGGAGAGGGAGAAGCAAGCTTCCCACAGAGCAGGAGCCCGATATGGGGCTTGATCCCAGGACGCTGGGGTCATGACCTGAGCCAAAGGCAGACGCTTGACAACTGAGCCACCCAGGCATCCCCAAGATTAGTTCTTCATCTTTTGTTTTTACCAGTCTGTGTGCAGGAGCTGGAATTTACCCAAGAAAGATAAAAATAACACGCTGTGGAATTTTCTTAATCATTAAACCCTAAATCAAAGTAATGACTTTTATATAGCTTTTAAAATATGAAAATTTAGTCAGATTTCAACAAAAGAAAAAGAAAATTTATATTTTTTACAGACACAACTTTGTGATTCTTATGTAGGATATTGGCAATGAATTAAATAAGCAAATACTTTATTCAGCTAAAATAAATATATTTTTATTTATAAACATATTTTTAAATGAATTTATTTTAAAATAAGTTAAATAAATTAACTCAGTGTTTATACTTAATTTCACTGGCTTGCCTTTAAAAAACAAAGTTTCCTCTAGTTAGCTTCCCTTGAAAAGCTGTCACACATGCTGAAAGTATGCTACCATTCAGGAGCATTATTCCACCAGTTACCGGAGTCTTAAGCCTACAGTGTCCTTGACTTCTGTCACATTCATCCCTAATTTTCAGTCAGCCCCTAGTTTCTGATTTTACCTTACAAATAGACTGTGAATCTATCTCTTTTAATTTGCCCTCTTTGACACATCTGCACCATTCGACTGCCGTTGTTTCTTACCTGGCCTATTACAGTATCTTCCCAACTGGTATCTCCTATTCTTTTTCCTTCTTACGACCTCTTGGTCAAAATCATTTTTCTTACTGCCACCAGAGCTCTCTATCTCTGCAGTGTCAATCTGTCACTCTTCTGCTAAGCTCCTCACCTGAAAGATACATTTCTCCACCTGAAAGATACAATCCAAGCTAACGATACATACTTAGCATAATGCCCACAGCTCCCTGCATAATGTTAAGCAGATGCTTAACTTGTCCCAGAATTCACAAGTTTTTAAATGTATATAAAAATGACCATGGTTCCTGCTACATCTCTCTATATTGCACCCCACGCTGTGCTATATCTCTCTACACCCCAGATAGTCACAGTACTCATCTGCAAGCAGTTTGCTGGCACACACCATGCTGCAGCACATGTCTGCACCATTACTCATTCTGTTCCTTCATCTGATAGACTATTTCCTGCCCTTCTCTTAAAGAGCCAATTCCTTCTCAGTTAACTTGGATGTCACCTCCCCAGAAGATTTTCCTGATCCAATAGCTATATCTACATACATACCTATGTTCATTCTCAGAGAACTGACCCCATTATGTGAAAAAATGTGTTTCTTAGTTCCCTAAGAGTATGACCTGTTGGATTTATGTTTGTAATGACTACATGGAGAGTGGCTGGTATACAATAAGTGCTCAGTAAATATTTGTCAAACTAAAGGACTTACAAGCAGATTTAAAGCTATTAGTCTAGAATATATAGATGGTATGGCAGGAATCATCTTGCCTCATCATTAGTTATTTTACTATATTGGTTATTAACACCTTATAGGAGTAAAATAAGCTCACAGAGAATTTACGTGGTTTTTTTGTTGTTGTTGTTCTTTGCTTTTTGTTTTTAAGATTTTACTTATTTATTTGACAGAGAGAGAGCGCACAGGCAGGGATAGCAGCAGGCAGAGGGAGAGGGAGAAGCAGGCTCCCAGATGAGCAAGGAGCCCAATGTGGGGCTGGATCCCAGGACCCTGGTATCATGACCTGAGCTGAAGGCAGATGCTTAACTGTCCGAGCCACCCAGGTGTCCCCAGAATTCACAAGGTTTAAAATGTATATAAAAATGACATTCAGTGTTTTTATTTTACTGCTGAGTTTTATTTTGCCTTTTCCTTAGCCTTTCTGTCTCCCCTTGGTTATTTTTGTCCTTGGGAAAAGCTCTAATATTCTTACAGAATCATTAATGAAAACAGTATTTTTAAAACAGTGTGCCAACTTATGGTACATTTCCAAAAGAATATTATTATTCTTACTAACCTTGTTTGGATGAGTAAAGCAGAGAAGGCCCTCAAGGAAATACACCACATAGAAGAACTGCTTTCATTATGTAAAAACTGGGTGCCAACAATTTAAAATGACTATTTTTACCCTTAAGTTAATTTGAAAATTTCCAATCTGGAAGACCATTCTGGTCATCATTTTCTTATGTGTTAATTATTAACACAGTATGAACTTTGTTTTCTCTTTCTCATTCATCACAAATCTTGAACCTGATGATAAGACATAATATGCACAAATAATATAAGACATTAAGGAAGTATATTTTTAAATAAGAATTTTACTAAAAAATGTGAGTAAATAGGACAGGAATGGAAATTATTTGCAGGAATTGATCCTTCTGTCAGACATACAGGAACACATTTTAGATGTCTTTATAATTATTACAAGAACAAAAATAGCATTTGTAAAATAAAACAGAAAAAATAGTATAACAACCTATTTTCTCTTTAACAAAGTTTTATAGGCAAGTAATGGTATTAACATAATGCCAGAAATAATATGTTTTCTTCTTGCTATATTCATATTTTTGTTTTAAGATTAAAGTGTATAGCTGTTTTCAAATAGCTCTTTTTGCATATGTTAACATTTAGACTTTTGTGCATCAACACTTCCTTTACATAGGTAAGTATATAAAGTCTTTGGGCTTTAAAAAACAATCTTATTTCAATTAGAATGAGAAAATGAAAAAACCAACCTGTTTCAGCGTGCAGAGAGGAGCAGTCTTGAGTGGAGAGTAAATTCAAATACCTCTTTAACTCAGGCTACTTTTGTTTTCATTTTATACCCCGCCTTTGTCTTGCATCCGAGAGAGCTTTCCTGAAATTTAACCTTGTAAGCACTTGATCTTTTATTTTTTGTATAATCATGGTGTGAAGTCAAATTCAAGTTCTAAAGTGTCTTAGCATACAAGTTTGAAAGAATTCTATCTTGTTTCAAAAACTAAGTACCTTTCAAAGTTTCTACTTAGATGAAAGGAACAAGAAAGTGCCGGCAGCTGAGGAACCATTGGCCAAACCAAAAAAATTCACCCCAGAGAGCATCAAGGGCTAATGAGCACTTGTAGGTAGAATCTAGAGAAATACTCTGAGAAGTTATTTTGTTTAGGAAAAAAAAGAAAAATGACTTTAACTCGGAAAGTTCTTTTAAAAGACTAAATTATCACAGACTAAATTTTGAGTGATGATTAGGCATTTATAGAACTTAATATTTTTTGTGCCACATCATTTAATATTTTACTTAAACTACGAAACTACTCTCGGCTTTAAAAAAAAAAAAAATGTATTTCTTCCCTGTCCTTTACCCCAGAGTATGCCTTTCCCCATGACTGTAAACTCTCTTGCCTTCTTCAAATTTATTTTTTCAAAGACCAGCATACAAACCTTCAAAATCCTTCTCTCTGGGGACATTGTTTTTCCCATGCTTCCAAACAAATGAAAATTGAAGAAGAAATGCATGCAGATTTAGCCCTCCTGTTTAAACAGGACTCTCCATACATTTGCATAGCAATGCCCTTTATTTCTTTTCTCATGCAAACTATGCTCAGTCTCCACATATAGAAATTATAGGCAGCATATAGATGGGTCTTGTTTTTTTTATCCTTTCTGATACCATATGTCTTTTGATTGGAACATTTAGTCCAGTGACATTCAAAGTAACTATTGATATATATGTATTGATTATAGTTGTTTTGTCGTTTTTGCAGTTTTTGTTTTGTCGTTGTTTTTGCAGTTTTTCTCTGACCTTTCTTCTCTTGCTCTTTCATGGTTTGCTGGTTTTCTTTGGTGATATACTTGGATTCCTTACTTTTCATTTTTTGCACATATATTACTCTTTTTATTTGTGTTATCATTAGGTTTATATATAACATCTTTTGCTTATAGTAGTCTATATTAAGCTGATGGTTGCTTCAATTTTGAACTCATCCTTTACTCCTCTCCCCTCCACCTTTGAGATATATGGTATCATACTTTACATCCTTTTATTTTGTGCTTCTCTTGACTGATTTTTACAGATACACTTTTTTTTTTGTATTTGTGCTTTCTGTTTTTTTGTTTGTTTTTTTTTTGTTTTACTCTTACTTATGGTTTTTGTTTTCCATTCACAGAGTCCCCCTTAACATTCTCATAGGAGTGGTTTAGTGGTCATGAATTCTTTTAACTTTTGTTTGTCTCAGAAATTCTTTATCTCCCCTTCTATTCTGAATGATAACCTTGCTGGATAGAGTACTTTTGGCTGCAGATTTTTCCCTTTTAGCACTTTGAATACATCATGCCACTCTCTTCTGGACTGGAAAGTTTCTGCTGAAAAATGTGCTGCTAGACTTAGAAGATTTTCTTTGTATTTAACACTCATCTTTTCCCTTGCAAATTGTAACATTCTTTATCACTGTTTTTGTTTTTTGCAATTTTAATTACTGTGTGTCTTGGTATGGACCTCCTTGAGATGAATTTGTTGGGAGAATCTTTGTGCCTCCTGAATCTGGATCTTTGTTTCCCTTCCTAGATTCAGGAAGTTTTCAGCTCTTATTTCTTCAAATACATTTCTGCCTCCCTTTCTCTCTCTTCTGGTATCCCTATAATGTGAATATTATTATGCTTGATGGAGTCACTGAATTCTCTACATCTATTCTCATTATACAGTATTTGTTTGTCTCTCACCTTTTCAGCTTGATTGCTTTCCATTACTCTGTCCTCCAGGTCACTGATACCCTTCTCTGCTTCCTATAACCTACTATTTATTTCACCTATTATTTTTTTAATTTCATTTATTGAGTTTTTCATTTCTGATATGTTAGTTTTTATCTCTTTGTCAAGGTCTCACTAATGTTCTCCACCTATTTCTGAAGTCCAGTATCTTTGTGATTATTACTTTAAATTCTTTATCAAGCCCATTACTTATTTCTATTTCACTTAGATCTCTTGCTATGATTTTATCTTATTCTTTCATTTGGGACGTGTTTTTCTGTCTCCTTATTTTTCTACCTCTCTGTCTGCCTCTCTGTGTTAGGAAAGTTAGCTACATCAGCTGCTCTTGAAAGTAGTGGCTTTATGAAGAAGAGGTACTGTAGTGCCCTGCAGTGCAGTGTCTGCTGTTTATCAGAATCAGTTATAATACTTCACCTGTTTGTGTCACTTGCATCCTACTATTGTGTCCGAGTCGCTTTTCCTTTCAGTCTAGACATCTACCCTGAATCTCTGCCTGTTGTGGGCTGCACTTGCTCTCTGTGATGTTAGTGAGACCCACAAAGGCTCGTTCTGAGGGCACATGACTGCAGAAGTGCTTGGAGGCAGGACAGTGGGGTTAGCAGATTTGTTCTGAGCTGCTAGTCCTAGACTGGATCTCCTGAAGTACGGAGGCTTTAACAAAAATTTGTGCTGAACCCGGGGCTGAAGCCAGCATCCTTGGACTGGGCAAGTGTTCCAGAAGAACTAATGGGTGTTTGCATTGCTAGCAGCTTGGGCAGCAAGTATCTATGTAGCACCATCTCCAACAAATGGCTCTGTGTTTGCAGGGAGGGGAGGAAAATGGCACCTACCAACTCCTTCATTCCCAGAGAAGTCCTCAACACACTCCAAAGTCAGTATAAACAGATCTCCCTCCCATTGTGCAAACTGTCGCTTCTATGTTGCCTCTCTGCCAGCCCTTGTCTTTTTAAGGGTGGGGGGCCCAGCTATCATTCCTCTACCCATTTGCCCAATGCTGAGTCAACTGACTTCTAAAGTTCCAGGCTCCAAGTCTCACTGGTTATACAAACTCTTGGAATTCAGCCCCTCCAGTTTTCAAGGCCAGATATTATGGGGATTCATTTTCCCCATGTGGGCTCCATGTTACTTTCCCTTCTCTGCTCCCACAATTCCCTCCTTCCTTCAGACAGCTCCTAACTGCATTTTCTATTCTTCCGAAATTCTTCCATGAGGCTTCATGGCTTTAGTCGTGGAGTTTGTTCTGCCTGTCTTCAGATAGCTCTCAGGTTTATTTACTCAGGTGATTGAAATCTAGTTGTAAACATGGGACAATGGTGCCCCTACTCTGCCATCTTTCCCAGCCTCCTCTCTTACCTCTTGTTCTTGATCTTATATATATTAGAGCAGTATGATGTGAACAAGCAACCCTCCCCTAAATTCTCAGACAGGCCTACAAAATCCTGCAAGTTCTGCCTCCATCCCTCATTGCCTCTCGACCTTTTTTCCTACTACTTTATGCTTTGCTTGTTTGGTCTGCCACACCAACTTTCTTTCTGTCTTGGAATGTACCAGTCACGTTCCTTCTTAGGGCTTTTGTACTGGCTTTTCTGCTCGTCTGGAATGTGTTTCCTCTCAATATTTACAAACCGTACTCCCTCATCTCTCAAAGCTTTGTCCAGTCACCATCACCTCCTCACTGAGGCAATCCCTAATTACTCTATTTAAAATACCCCTCACCCGCCTATACTCCAATCTAGCTTAACCATTGTACTGATCCTCTGCTGATTTACTATATAATATGCATTATGTTTGCTGTTATCTCTTGCCCTGTATTAGAATATAAGCTTCATCAGGGCAAGGACTTTTATTTCCTTTCTTCATTGATACATCTGAAGTGCCTAGAATAGTGCCTGGCATATAGTCAGTATTTTAAATTAATAAATAATCCTACTTTCCCTTGTGATTATTGATCCATTTTACTTTCCCTTGATGCTCTGCTTCTTTTATGACTCATCTATAACAACAGCCTCCATAGTTAACAATTATATAATCTCTTCATCTATATTATATGTAGATGCAATACTGACTTGTGAGCCTTTGTTCAGTGCTATTACTCCTATCTAGAATACTCCTCCCCCCTCCACTTTAGCTACTTCTATTTAGGATTCAGATTCAGGTCTAACCTTAATGTTACTTAATTCAGGAAGACTTCATTAACCCTTTTAGATTAGATCAGATGTGTATACTCTTTACTCCTCTAGTACTATCTCACTTTGTTACTAGTACTTAGTAAAATTTTCTATCTTCCATAGCAATCATGTGTCCTGCTATATCCTCAACATTTAGCTGTGTGCCTTACTTATGGTACCAGTTTACTGAATAATAATTAAATACGTGAATGAATGAGTGAATGATTCAATCAGTCAATCAAAGTTTAACTTATCCTCCACAGACTTACAAGTTTAGCAGTGGAGCTGGAATTTTTTTTTAAGATTTTATTTATTTATTTGATGGAGATAGAGGGCACAAGCAGGCAGAGTGGCAGGCAGAGGGGCAGGCAGAGGGAGAGGGAGAAACAGGCTTCCCACTGATCAAGGAGGCTGATGTAGGGCTTGACCCCAGGACGCTGGAATCATGACCTGAGCCAAAGGCAGACACTTAACGACTGAGCCACCCAGGCACCCTTTGAATCCTGGTAATTTTAAAGAGTATTTAAAAGTATTCTTTTCCTTTATTTTATACTCCCCAACAATCACATACTTTCTTGTAAATAGGATTATGATCAGTTATAATGCTATAATCTTTATATCTTTCAAAAATCACACATCATTTTTTGCTAATTCACATACATACCCAGGCATAACAGATAAAAGATCAAGCCTCTTTTGGTCGTATATACCACATGAAATAAGGTGAAACTAGTTTATTGCCTGGCCTTTTCCTGTATTTTCCTTCTCCCAGACAGAACTAGAAGAGGTGGTGTTGATAGGGGAGTCTTGACAAGATAGGAAAGGTAATCATATAGCTTGGAGATTAGGGAAAATCATCATTTACCCTAAGCAACTTACCAAAGTACTAAGTTGTTTCTTTCTTGCCCCTCCCCCATTTTTGGTACTTGTCTCCTATTTTTCATATCCCTAAGAACAGAATCTTTATGATTGCAACTAGCTGCTCACCATAAACTCTCTCCATGAAATGCCTTAACATACCAGTATCCCTCATTCCTGAAGAATCTCTCTCCACACCCATTTCTTAGCCTTCCTCTTGAAGTACCATTTTGCTCAGTGACAGATGTTTGGGAAAGCAATCTGGCTAAACTATATACTGAATTATCATTGAAAATATAATGTTATATTTTCAACATAATTTATATTGAAAATTGATATTGAGATATGCATTGAACATTTAGATAATCTCATGACTTCTCTTTAGTGTGCATATTACATATTAATATCGTATGTGAGTTTTTTACTTAGCATTTTCTGTTACTCCAGGTTCACTATAAATGTCATTTTTTTGAAGATTTTATTTATTTATTTGAGAGAGAGAGAGAGAGTGAGAGAGAGCATGAGCAGGTGGGGAGGGGCAGATAGAGAGGGAGAAGCAGACTCCCCACTGGGGAGGGAGCCCTATGTGGTGCTCAATGCCAAGACCCTGGGATCACAGCCTGAGCCAAAGGCAGCCATTTAACCAACTGAGCCATGCATGCATCCCTATAAATGTCATTTTTGTAGCTAAATA